TGTTGGTTAAACAGTTTATCCTTAAAATAAGGACGTGCTTAAATATTTCGATTACACGCCAGTCATGATGTAGACAAAACCATTGGAATGACATTAGGCGTAAATTGTATAGGCGTCGGCGGGGGTGTTGGTGGTTAATCATACAACGTGTGTGTGTTTATAAACCATAATCAGGCATTTACAAAAAGGAAGAAAACATAAATATAATTAAGATTGCTGAATGGAAGACATAAAAAAGCTATAACTGGAAACCCAATTTTGGATACACACTTTTCGGAATGTGGCTGTTGTGACCCAGTGAAATAAATACAGCCATGACTCGTTTCTCGTTTATCAATTCAATTTAATTTCTTTTGTGCAAAATAAATATGAACTGCTCACTTGGTGATCACCAATCACACGTTAATGGAAAACATCACCCAGACACGTGTGACATAAACCCATGTCGTTGCCTGCATATGAGAGCCGTATGGAATTTTTTGGAAAAAATCAAATATTCTCTCTTGATTGCTATCGACTCGAGCAAATCATTTTGAGAATTTATATAAAGGCGCTGAGATTATCATCTATCTTGGTTCACAGAAAACATTATTGTGGATAAATTCCTGGATTTTTGTTTCCTTTCTTGGTGTCATACTCAAATAACGTCTGCATAGCAGATATTCAACACGTGCCGAAAAGGGTGTTTTGTTTTATTTCCGTCGACAAGGGAACAAGAATATAAAGCAGTTTTTAGTTGGAAATTCCTTACAAAGGTACAAAGCAGTCCAAACAGTTAGGTGAATTAATTTCATTATGATTGCTGAATCTGTCTTGTGTTAGGTCACAAAATGTTGAATGAGTTCTAATAAAAAAACACAAAAAAAAAGTAGGAAGAAAAACAATTAAAGTTTTGGTTTTCTAAAAGGATATTAGGGCCTTATGGCAAATTTTTACTCTAGAAATGTTAACATTAAGAAATACTACAATTTTGATTATGAATAAAATAATGAATACAAAAATTGGCATCAAATTCTAAAATCTTAGTTTCCCGGAATTAGGAAGCGAAATTAAGGATTAATTTGGATTTGCTTGGTTTAAGAAATATGGTTTCCAACAGGAGTTGTTTTGGCATTGATATTTTGTCGATAAATCAGATGTTTATTATATAGTAATGACAAAGATCACCAGATCGCGAAGTTATTGTCCCATGTCTTCAATAGTCCCCCGAATTGTATCAACATGGTTGACAGAGACCTTATCACCAACCTCTTTTTCTACTGCCTTACCATAAACCCTAACAAACTGCTACATTTTGAGAACATTAGCTTGTTGACATAAACATTATGGTGGAAACGAGCATCTTTTCATTGGCTACAGAGGCAATATTCTCAGATGTTCTTTAGCGACAATCAAAGGTTTTATTTCTCAAAGCACTAACTTGTTCCAACACCTGGAATTTAATGTGTTGCCGTCCGCCAAGACGTTTCACGAAGTCAAATACCAAAAGCGTGCCCAAATTCCCAAAATGTCGAAATTTGGATGGTACCGTTTCATAGGGTCCACTCTACAAAGTGAACCAATATCGTCAGAGAGACTACCCTAACCAGAAAGAAAATTTTATTAAATTCTCATTCCCCGAAACGGAACACGTTACTTGACATCTCCTAAAACAACACAATTAGGAAATGACATGGATACCAAAAGAAAATAAACGCAACAAATCCCAAAAAAACAAAATGAATATTTGACAGACTTAATAAGCCAAACGTTTTTTTCTCTTGCAAATTTATACAAAAACAAGGAAATATAATTTGGGCGGCTAATTCGTTTAAATGCTTATATAAAAAACGAACATATCAAATATAAGTCATAAAAAACGAATACTCGAAAAAAAGGAATAGCAAACTGCTGTAATCCCAAAGAAAAAGTAAAAAACGATAAACCATGAAAAAACTGTGCAATGTATTTTGGCTCAATGGTAGCATAAAGGGTCGGATATCCAACATCGTATCCGGTCTTACACGTAAATGACACTCAATTAATTATGCTTAAGTTGTCTATTACAAAAATACAAACACATGAGAACATGTGCTCACACACACACTCATAATGGCACAGTTCAACTTGACACTTTTTGACTTTAAAGAGAATAATAAGAGATTGCAGTTGAGTACGAAGTAAACAGTATTATCTATGGAATGTATGTATAATCGGAGGATGTATGTATGTTTGTGTATATATGTACTGAGTAAATATATTACCGTACATTACTTTACATTTTACCCCTTCGCCTTTTGTCGACATTGTCATCGTCGTCGTCATAGTAGTGGTTATATGAGTCTGGTTTATTTGTAGATGTTTTCACACCACAGCACTCTGGTCTGGCTGACACTCACCGTCTCTGAGTGCGGTGAGATGAATTGTGCCAACAACGTTGCATACATCATTGCAAGTGCCACAAAACTACAAGAAAAACTGAATAAAACTATGATGTATGTGTGTGTGTGTATACGTACATATCCTAGACATAGTGATAGTGATTGTATGTTTGCATAAATGTATATGTGTGTGTGTGTTGACTTTAATAATACCGCTATTAAGTGTCGGGAAGGGCACTTGCTTAAAATTCTTCTCTGTTGATGCATTGACTATGTCAGGAGAGCACAGCTTAAGTGGATCTTCAGATTTACCACAAAATAAAATAACGATAGATAGCAAACAGAAAAAACATAGCTCATTGAAAATATTGCCAAAAGCTTGAAGAAGATTTAAACCAAAATTGTGTGTTGAACATTCTAGTTATCCACATGATTGACTACGTGCCAGCACGAAGAGGGGATATACAAATATACACGTGGAAATTTAATTAATATATTGGTATTAGTTAAGGAGTGGCAAGAAATTAATTATGATGTGGTGGTATAAGTAAGGAAAAAGGATAATATGTATAAAAGTTACGATAATGTGAAGAGGCAATCATGGTTGATAGTTGTATATAAGGATTTAACATTATACGGTACGGTTCCAACTAATTTTTTTTCCAATCCAGACTATTGAGAACTAATAAAGTTCGAGAAAAATTATTTCTTTAGGTAAGGAAGAAGCGGAATATCTTTTCATTCATGAACCTGACACTGGGTAACCTAAAAATGTTCATATTTTTTTATATCCTCAAACGTGAAGTGATTGCTATGTAAAATTTTTCATTCCGTTCATATGTGTCAGAGACCTTATAAAGTATAAATACTCTGAAATTGTCATTAACCCTCATATAAATATCTCTACATTCATATCAAAATTTCCAACCTAAATTTGTAATTTGGAACTTTCAAACAAATCTTTTGGCCCCAAATTTTGTTTTTGGTATTTTGAGCGCGAATCTCAAGCTAGCCTTTATCGAAATTAACGACGTTTTCACTTGTTACAAATGTGAAATTCACCTTGCAAATCCCATCCCCAGCATGTCAGCTATACCTGTTTACAGTCCCTTCTGTTCCTCAATAACAACATAGCTCAATTTTTCATTAAGTTCTTATTTAAACTCATTCAGAATACCAGCAGTTTTTTGTAAATATGCTCAGCTCATTTAGAAAACCCCACTTCTACTGATCTATAAGGATCTTAAGACATGTAACTCGTCTATAAAACAACAATATTTTTAAACATACTCCTTAACATTCAGATATTGGTATTTAACGCGCATATAAAGATGTCCACATACTTTACGCTATAATTACTTCCTTCAGTGCATCCGTAAAGATTTTTTGAATTTCAATTGGCTTGTCAAGGTTCTCTGACTTTCAGCTCGTCTACAAAGTTTTTTTGAACCGGTTCAACTTGATGGCCTATTGGAGTTACAGCCCATCTATATGAGCACAAATCGTCTTGTATGTATTTCCATAAGAGTAATATACAATTACTCTTTCGGAATTCTGTCCACCATTGGAAGCAATTGTTAATATTAAAAAGAAAATACACCGCCTGATTGTCCTACCATAAAAAATTCTTCAGCCGTTCCTATGGCCTTTCTAAATAAGTCATTTCGTTGGTCTTTTTAATAAGTCATCTCTACACTACTACTACTAACAGACAGAAATGCATCATCATTATTAACAGTTTGATGACGACAGTGATGGACTCTCACGTCCCCGGCATGTGTTCTCCTTTCATTTATGTGCAAAATGATGGAAATCGTTTTTACGATAATTTGTCGCCCATTGTCCAGACTTGTTTTGTTCGTAGGGTTTTATTGCCATCAATTCCGTCGTTCGTATGAATTCATAAATATTTTTTTTTCTGCTGCTGCTGCTTCTACTTCATCTTATTTATAACTACAATTTAACATTTATACAGTCCGTTTTTTTTCTTATTTCGATTTTTACGATTATGAAAAGCGATAAAAATATTTAAAGAAAAGCAAATAATAAAAATTGCGAGAAAGAAAGAAGATGGGAAAAATAAGCGATAATGAAAATAAGGAAAACTTATTTTGTATTTATTTATTTTTTTTCTGTTCATATTTACAGATTGAAGATGTATAAAAAGGATATCTCATTGCAGGGCCATTCATAAGATTAACAATATCTCTTTTATAGTTGTTTATTATTTACTCTCTTTATTGTGGATTTTTTGAAGAAGTATTTTTTACAACTTCCATCACACATTCATCAGCCGCTTCAGTTTTAAATGAACGGCAATGGGATGCGGTTGAAAGAGTTAACCAAACGTCCCCGTCCCCATAATCTGTTGTGTGGTGATATTTAATGCCACATTGGCGCCTTGCAGCTTGGCCATTTACATAATTTTCCACACATATGTTCGCTGTATGAATAATGTCAACATAAATTTCTTCCTTTTGGCCTGACCGACTTTGGTTGAGTTATTTTTGTTGTGCCCTCCTATATGCTCCTCATATAAATATATGTTTTTAAGGCCTTACATTTAATCATGTTTATTTTTACGCTATTCTCGAACCATTACTCATGTTTGCCCGTATCTTTTCTTCCGTTCCATTGCAGAATCCTTGACAACATATTCAACGTCGTATACAGCGCTGGAAACAACCACAGTGTCACCAACAAATCTGCTGCCATATTTTGATTTTGATGTGCCGCGCAATGTAACCGTGACAGTGGGCCAAACGGGTTTTCTACATTGCCGTGTTGAACGTTTGGGCGATAAGGACGTAAGTACATTTTTAAAATAAGGTCACATATGTATACATAGTTATAAGGGTATTACATTCGAAGGACATAATCACCTATAAATATGCCCATAAGCTCGTCTAAAAGAATCTCTTCTCTCAAAATACTCCCTAAGATTATATAGAAACCTTATTTCGGCCATTTTTACTCGTTTATGGTTACTTATATAAAGTTCGTCTCTAAAAACTCCCTCTCTCTCTCTTGTTCAACTCCTCTATAATGATCAGCTTCTCTTTATCTCGTATATAAAAATTCCCTCCAACTCTATCTTCATCACCGCTATTAACTATATTAAGGTCGTCTATAAATACTATTTTCGTCTACAAATTCTTCAGCTTCTCTATAGAAACTCCCCTCAGCTCTATAGTCCATATAGACTCTGTAGACTTTTTCAAGATTTCTTTCAGCTCGTCTATAAAAACACATATCAGGTCGTCTAAAAGGCTTCTTTCGCAGATATTCTCTTTTACTTGTCTGTAAATATTCCGTCCTGATCGTCTATAAGAACTGACTCTTGCTCATCTACAGAGAATCCCTCCTACTCGTATATTAAGACTCGCTCCTGCTCGCCTATAATAACTCCATACTACTCAAAAGAATCCCTTCAGCTCGTCTACCAGGACTTTCAATACATCCATATTCCTGTCTTCTATAAAAAAACTCCCTTCAGCTTGTCTATAAAGAATCCCCTTTTCAACCCTTTTATAACCACTTCCTTCAATTTGTATATATGTATACATCAAAGTTCCATTTTTATAACCCTTTTCCGAAAAAACAAGCACTTGAACCGTGGCCACAGTAATGTCCTCGTTCCTCTTAAATCAATTCGTGATGGCAAATTTGTGCAGTATACGATTATTGTTGCTGCTGTTGTTTGTTTTAACTGTCAAGTGGATGTGGGTCTAAACATTTTTGACAAGGACAAGGTCTATTACGTACTTACAAGCATCTATATATACACATACTTACACACACACACGTTCGAAGCCACACATGCCTATATATCAAACCGCAAAACCAATACATCAACACACACTCAAATGACTAATTTATAGACCATCAATCACAATCTCATATTGGCTTGTACGTATTTTCTAAAAGAGAGCAAGGGGACTTAGGGCTTGGAAGCTGACATAGTAGCGCAGTACTTGTCACTTGATGGATGTGCTACACAACCAAACAGATGCAAAGAAACAAAAAACCAACAGAAAATCCTATAAACAAGGGAGCCCATCAATGACAAGCTTGACTGATATGTTTAATTTTTTCTTCTATGTGTGAGTGTTTAAAAAAAGAAATCACATTTTGTGTAAGTTGAAAAAAAATTGACACATATACACGCGCACGTTGCCAATACTTCCTATTAGCCTAAATTAAAAACCATGTAAAAGTACTTTACGGGAAAAAAAGTTTTCAACAAGATTTACATGTTCTGATATGCAAATTGCAATTGAAACGTTGTAAAAAACAAACACACACATACACGAACAAAATTTTATTCCGTTCGGAGGTGGGGTGGTTCATCGCAAATAGAGGCTCATCCATTAATTTCAAAGTATTTAGAGCTTAACCAAACAAAAGTTGTACTGTATATGAGGCATTTCGGGTGAGGGGCGTTGCAAAAAGTGATTCTGTTTAAAATAAAAAAATACATTTTGAAGTTGATAAAATTATTTTTTTTAATTCTGAATAAACGTCAATATTCCTGCCACCGATTTTAAATTACAATACTCCAAAAATCACAGTTTTTGCACAGTTTTTCAGTTTCTGCTTCGTCTTTAGCTACTACACAAAATATACATGTTTCAACAGCTTTAAATAGATGTAGATTCCCTGACTTCTATTCGCTCAGTTAAGACTCCCCGCTCTTTATCTTAACCATTAAATACCCCAGATTTTCAGCTCATTTTTGAAAAGCTATCAGGTTATTAGCTCTGAAATAAAATCAATCTGACTAGAGACTGCCTAGTTCAGACCGTCCTTTTGACCTTCAGCTCGTCTATAAACTTGTCGTCTTTTAACCTTCAGATATGAATTCTGCTTCTCTTCCTTCTCGTCAATTACAGACACCCTCTGCTCCCCCCCTCCATGTATGACAAACCCTCATCTTTTCTTCTGTTGAAAATAAAATAATCATTTAGACTGCCTGGTCGTCTATAAATATCTCCTGCCTGACCTTCAGATCGTCTATGTTATAGTCCCTGACCCTCACCTCGTCTATGAAGTCTCCGAAACCTCCAGTTTCTCTATGAACCTGACCTTCAGCACTTCTGTCTGACCTTCAACTCGTCGATGTAAGACTCCTTGTCCTTCACCTCGCCTATGAAGTCTCTCTGACCTCCAGCTCCTCTATGAACCTGACCTTCAGCACTTCTGTCTGAGCTTCAACTCGTCTATAATTACTCCTTGACCTTCAGTTCGTCTATAAAGACTCCCTGACCTTCAGTACGTCTATAAGGACTCCCTGACCTTCAGCTCGTCTATAAAGACTCCCTGACCTTCAGTTCGTCTATAAAGACTCCCTGACCTTCAGTACGTCTATAAGGACTCCCTGACCTTCAGCTCGTCTATAAAGACTCCCTGACCTTCAGCTCTTCTATGAAAATTTCCTGTCCTTCAGCTATTCTAAGAAGACTCACTAACCTACAGCTTGTCTAAGAAGTCTCCCTGACCTTCAATTCGTCTATAAATACTTCTTGAGCTTCAGCTTGTCTATGAATACTTATTGACATTCAGTGAATATATTAAAGACTCCCTAACCTTCACCTCCCTGACTTTCAGCTCCTCTTTAAAACATACCTGGCATTCAGCTCGTTTATAAATATTCTCTGATCTTCAACTCGTCTGCAAAGACTGCATAACATTCAGGTTGTCTATTAAGACTATCAGTTTCAGCTCAACATTCTATCCTGCAACTATAAGTAGTTAAGACTTCCACATTCAGCTTGACATCCTAGCTTTCAACCGCCAGCACGTTTATTAAGAGTTCCTGTATTTCACCTTTTTGAAAATTCCCCGCTTAAATCCGTATATATAAAACATTCGATTCTGCTTGTCTGGTAATAATTTTTATGAACTCACTTTTTTAAGTGAAACAACTCATATCTACTATCTACCGTTAACTATCCAATCGGATATTCCAGGTTGTCACAGTTAATGATGCGGCAAGATTATTCTTCCATATCACATGCCATCTGATGTGCATGGAAGGTATGGAAAAATAATTGTTGGATTGAAGTTTTGTCGTATTAAAGAGATTCATAATTTTAACATATTTTAATATTTTTACATATCTCCTCTGATTATCGTGAAATTTCTAGCAATTTTATTTCATTCTATAGTTTATGTGGAATTCTTTTTCTCAATTTTATAGCAATTTGCGATTTTGTTCCTCACACATTCCCTCGTGGAGGTTGTTGACTCAAGAAATTGACATTTAATACATACTTAGAGGCAACGGGTGTTGTTGATCTTTGAAAATTCACTCGACATAACATATTGTTGTCGTTTTCTTGAACATGGCCTTTTTATGTTCCTTTTTCTTGTTATTTTTTTATTTATTTACTGCCTTCTTTGGGTAGTAAGTGGTACAAGAGTCAGTTAGGCAACAAAGGAACAATGGCGTGGTTAGGCTTATCAAAAGATTGTAGAACTAAGGTAAATGTACTCTGTTTAGGTTACGATTACAAGATGGGAACTTGTACATGTCTTACCCCTAATATAGGTTGTCACTCCCACAAAATAACCCACATCTACGCCATTGACACTCGCTCACAAGAACCACTACCAACAACAACCCACATTAACTGACAAATTATTTGCGTACATTAATTTAACGTGTCTACACGTGTTCTTTTCAAAGCCATAAGTTTCCAGTTTAGGCAAATAAATCTTTCGAAATGTAAGCGTCATTTGTTTTGAAGAACTTTTTTACCGCTGTGTGGAGGGGTAAACTTTTTTCCTCCATTCTTTTTTCATCATTTAATTCACTCTTATTATTTTTCAAGTAGAATAGAATTAGGTTGACTTTGACACATTGTTTACGCTCAGTTTATGGAACAGTTACATTTTAGTCGCTTGGTATGGTGGCATGGCGTTAAAATTGAGTCCAATAGGAAAAGCAAAAAATACGTTGGAATTATTTAATTAATTTGTTATGCGGGAAAACGTTTTAGATTGTATAATCGTCATATTCTCAGAAAATGTAAATCGACAAATCGATTGAATGCATGAAAGCTATTCGATAAGGTGTCAATTGCAAATGTTTGGAGGTGTCAAATTGAATGAAAAACAAAAATGTGTGGTAATTAATTTGAAAGGTGTGAATAATTAATTTTTATTTTTTTGCCTAGAATGTTTTAATTGTATTTGAAGGTGTGTTTATACATGCTTTTATATATAAGCCTACGAGCTCTCTTTACGGCCAATATGTACTACCTCCATCCCACCGTATATATTGTATACATCTCCTCTTCAACTAACTCCTCCCAGAATATTTCATGGGCTTCTTCTGTCCGTCTGTAAAGACTGCAATTCGTTTAGAAGTACCTTATAAAAAGAACGCGTTTTAGTTCGTCAATTAATAATGTCTTAACACCGAATGTGAAATACCATTACAGTCATTTTAGCCATAAATACTCTTTATATTTTATCACTTCTTGGTGACTCTTTTGTCTCCAGCTCGCCTATGAGGCTAGCATGTTAACTGAACTTTATCTACTCCATAAAAACACCTTGTCTTTCAGCTCATTTATAATGACACCATTTCAATTAGGTCCTCTATGAAGACTCCTTGACATTCAGCTCATCTAAACAACGCCCTGATCATCAACTAATCTATAAAGACTTCCTAACATTCATTCTCTCTTTATAGATTCCCTTATGTCCGGCTCCCATAGACCAGCTACAAAAGCGCTGCTTGTCTATAAAGACTCCATCAGCTCGACTGTATAGACTCTTCTCAGCTCGTGTATTAAAACGCTTTGTCTTTTAGTACAAGTCG